TGCACATTTGAATGGGTGCTTATAGGACTAGGGAAGGGGGCCTGGGGCTGAAACCAGCTATCAGATTAAGACCTGGATCTTCCCTGTGCTGGGCTAATCTGACTTCAGTCCCTCTGATCAGGAGGTTCCAGTGAGAGACAGGCCTTTGAGCTGAAATTTCAACTGTGACATGCACAGCAAGCCAGTGACTGAAGTGTAAGCAGGTACCAGTTTATCCAAAATATAGCTTGGCCAACGCTCTCAGAAGAATGCATTCTCCAATCCCGCTGGCTGGAGTCTGGAGCAACCAAGAAACCAGCAAAACTGCCCTTTGCTCGCTCCTGCATGTGGCAGGGTGCCTAACCGTTAAGACTCTTCACACAGTAAGCCTCAGTGCCCACTCCCAATCTGTCAGAACCCATCCTCGAAGTCACCCCCATTCACTCAGGCCTCCTCTCAACCCCCTCCCAATATACAGGCGCCCCTGCCTCCAGAACTACCCAGACAGAGGTCTCACTCCCAGATCAAAGGTTTGTGGCTGAATTCACTTGCAGGACAATGCATAACATCAGCTGCAGATGAAAACCCACCTCCTGGCTGGGACTGGTGGTGCATGCCTTTGACTCCAGCACTGGCTTGCCAGGCAGAGGCAAGGGCATCTTTGAGTTTGAGACCAGACTGGCCTAAGACAGCCAGGGCTGTTAAACGGAGACATTCTGTCTCTAAATAAATAAATAAATAAATAAATAAATAAATAAATAAATAAATAAATAAATAAATAAATAAACAAACAAACCAACCAACCAACCAAAAAGTAAAAAGAAAACCTGAGCCAATTTTCTCATTTCCACTCAAGGATTTCCTAGTGATAACTTCAGATACTCCAGAAATCTCTAACTCTTGCCCCCAAAGGACCCATTTAAGATCAGATTCAAGAAAATCACTTCAGAGGGCCTTTAAGACCCTAGTGTGACTCTCTTCCTCCCAGAAAAGGAGACACAGCCACCCTTCCCCATCTCCAAGTGGTGAGGCCTTCCAACTGCCTCAGCCCCAACCCAGTGGGAAACAGAAGGGTATGCCATAGGAAGGTGGTCCAATGTCTGTCTGGCCTGTCTTAAGTCTCCTTCCTCTGGAAGCCTCAGACCTGTCTGGAGAGGAGTTCAAAGATTCCAGCTAAAAACCACCTAAGCCCTTCCCAGGATGCAGGCAAGGTTGGACTCCTCTGAAGAAGCACATAAAACACACACTCTCTCACACACACACACTCACACACACACTCACACTCTCACACTCACACACACACACACTCACACACACTCACACTCACACACACATTAATCCTCTTGTTGACAGGCCCTACATGGTGAAAAGGGAGAAAGGTTCACCCAAAAGGCAGAGAGATAAAGCATCAGGTATTTCACTAAAGGTCCTGGGTTGGGTCAAAACAACACAACTCTTGATGTGCAACAGAGCCAATCTGTCTGTCCCTCACAAGCTCTGTCTCCTCCTGTTTTGGTTCCTTCCATCTTTATCCTTGCAAAAGCAAGAGGCTCTAGGAATCAGGAGTGGAAGAAAGGCAGAAAACACCCAAAGGAGGAAATTTACAAAAACAAAAACTTTAACAAATCAGCAGCCAGGGTAACTTTCGAGGGCAAAGAACTTTCTAGAAACACTCCTGTCACTGCTACATTTGTGGCTGGTCCTCAGTCCTCACTAGCCTGTCCCCTGACCCAAAGGATGAAAAACAAGATAGAAAGAAAGAAAGCTGGGGGGGGGGGGAAAAAAAATGAAACCACCACAGCACATCCCTCTGTGTCACTGTCTATGAAAACATTAACACAGTGCTGCTGCTGTCTGTCAACTGGAGGTAGGCCGTGCTTTCCCAGGGTCCCTGGTTCCCGGGTCTGTAACAGTCATTTGCCACATACAAAAAAATCAAAATCAAAACCAAAACAGCCTCTAACATCTGACTGTCACTTCCTGAGAACCGTCTGGTAACCAACTTTAAATCATACAGAAAATAAGTCTGACAGGCGTGGATTTGATAGTTTTGCTCCTTAATCTGGATTTCGAAAGCAGCTTGCCAATGACCCAAGATTTCTGCCTGCGTCTCTCCCTCCGGGCAGTCTGGGGAAATCTTAGCTTCTGTGTGCCTGTCTCTCAGATTCAGTGGCTTCACGATGCAGGGCACTGCGCTCAGAACAGAACCAGTAACTTCAGGACCTTCCTGCACCTCGCTCCTGTGGAGGAATTCCCTTGCTTGGATTCCATTAAATCGGGCTGCCCAGTTTCCTGACCACAGTTCTTTAACTCTGGGAGAAAGGACTGGAGAGTCACAGCTAGGCTGTGACTGCTAACAATAACCATTACAACCAAACTCTCATACCAGAGCATGTGGACAACCCTATGAAGTTCGAGATAATGGAATCTGCCTTCCTGTTGTGTTTTGATGGTACCGCCCCCATACTGGTTAATTACAACAGCCTTGGGAACCAGAGTAGGCCAACAGGCCCAAACATTACAGAAATAGGCCAGCCTAACAGCAAGCAACCATTTTAATCACAAATGAAAGCATAAACCACAGCACATACTGTACTCCTTGAGGTCGCTACAGCAAGCATCAGGTGCATTATTCTTGCAGAGCAGGCCAGCCGGGAGGCGGGGCTTACACAAGCTTCCTGAGACCAGACTCCCCACTGCCTCCCTGCAGGAAAGACTCAGGGCCTGAGGTTGGGAAGCAAGCTAGGAAGCTTCCAGGCACCAATGCAGACAGCAGGGAGCAACAGCAGTTCCACACACTTGGAGAAAACACGGCTTAGTCACTTAAATATTTACTTTTAAAGATGAAACTTTTGCAACTCCCCAATAAAACTAAGATTCCTAAGAAAGAGTCTGCTTTGGGAACCTCAAGCATTCCCAACCTCTCACACTGTCATTTCCAAAGCCTCTAGAAGATAACACTAAAGGAACAACAGTTCATACACACATGTGTATACACAAACACACACACACACACACACACACCAGCAATAAGAACATATTCCCTGGACACTACATGTGACCAATACTTTTAGTTCCTTTAAGAACAGGCCAAACCTCCATGGGCATGAGCAGACCATTTCTATCAGTCTTCATTTACAGATTTATTCTAATGAACCAACCCCCTTCAGGTTGCCCAAAGTGAACCAGGCCTGTCCTAGAAAAAGTGTAAGAGCCACCCACCACTTTAAGTCCTAATGGTGAATCTCCCTTATTTTGGCTCCATTGACACTAGGAAGTCTAAATGGCACGAAGTATACATGGCAGTTAAATCCAGTCCCCAAACAGCAAGAAAGCACTTTGCTGTCCGGCCAGGACCAGCCCAGTAAGAGGCTGCCCGGAAGTCCCGTTTGACTTGGGCCCTGCCTTCCTACCCTCTCTTCATGTTTCAGGTGGTTGGCGACTGCAGCTCACTGTTTTTGTTGTTCTCAGAGTCAGCAAGTCCCTTGTCAATGAAAGCAGTTTTTAGACTGTGGAGAACAGCTTCCATCCCACAGAAAGTATACCTACTGGGTGGGGGTGAAGAGGGAGGCAAGTGACCCAGGCCATAAAGACAGAAGGTCTTCAAGGCACTTAATTTCTTGCCATTCCAAAAGAACTGCTTTCAAAGTGTGTAAGGGCTTGCTGCTGCCACCGACCCCATGTTGTTAAATAACACTTGTGTAATTAAATAAAAGACCCAGTGTGACCCCCAGCCCGTTCTGAGAGCCACTTTACATGTCTTCTGAAAGCCATCCTGGAAATCAAATGCAGACAATCTCTTTTGTCCTGTGACTTAGGAAAGAAAAGGAGGGGAAAAGTTGCTCCTGGCCTCGAAGGCTGCACACTCTCTGGAAGGGAGGCCTTCGGGAACCCCTCGAAACCAGATGAACACAAATACAGGTGTGCAAACATCCCGGTATTCACCGCTCTCCCAAGACCCCCTTCTTGAAATCCTTAAGTGGTTTAGACTCTGGGTGTCCAGACCCCTCACAGCCCACCTCTGTTCCCGGGTTCTACGCCTGCGATTTAGAATCTCAGCCTCCCAGTCCCCTACCGCATGCATCCTGTTACCTCGGAAGGTCTATGCTTTCCTATAGAATGCTGCCTGGGCCACAGCACTCCAGCCCACTGGAACTCGTGATTTTTAGGGTTTCCCTTGAAACCTATCCAGAAACCACAGCCATTAAAAGAACATGAAGGTTTGACACCTCCTGAATTTAGGAATGAGGGGACTCCAGAGGCCAACTCCACAAACTTGCACCTGCTGCTTAATGGTCAAGAAACAGTTACCCCCAGCTGAGGTGAGCTTCAGATTATTCTCTCTTTACTTAGTGACTCGTCTCCAAGGATCTCAAAGCATGAAATGAAGTAAGATGAAGATGACGTGTAACTTTCTTACTATCTCTCCGAGGCTTAAGTCTGTTTGCCTTGCTGGGCCTTGATGCCTTCCGCCAAGCAGGCCCTGCTTGGCCAGAGCCTGAAAATGAGGCCTTCCCTGGGTTCCAGATGGGAAAGCTAGACTCTCTGTGGTTATATGTCAGTGGCTTCACGAGAGCCATCCAAGGCTGATAAATGACAGAAACGCAGAGTGGAGGCGCCCTCGTGGATTCACCTGCTCGCCGCTGCCGCCGGTTGCCTTTAAACCAGTTTAGCATACGGGGTACCACTATGTGAGGCTGTTGAAACTCCCTTTGAGTATGCCAGGTACGGGCCGTGGGCTTTCCCCTGAGGGCAAGATTCCCCATCATCACTACATGTATCTGTACAAGACAGCAAAGGGCTGTTTTCATGAAAGCTTGTTTTTTCTCTAAGCCTACAAAAATGACTTTGGGGTTGCCATTTTTTTTTCTTGTTGCTACCCTAACTTGGACATCTCTCCTCTTTAACTGGATAAAAATCTTACCTCTTCCTTCCTTCGTTCCTCCCCCCCCCCCCCAATAAAGGCTGCACGGGCTCTGGCAGAAGAACAAACCGAAATTAGAGGGCAGCCAAGATGCTCTCCATAGGTCCCTCCAGCTCTATACTGATTCTCTCTTTAATTACTCCCCAAACAGGCGCATTCTTCACATTGCTGCAAACTGACCAGCGATTTGTAAGTCTCAGAGTCAGTCAGTCTCTCTCTCTCTCTCTCTCTCTCTCTCTCTCTCTCTCTCTCTCTCTCTCTCTCTCTCTCTCTCCCCCCCCCTCCCTCTCTCTTCTCTCTCTGGCTGAAGAGGATGTGCTTTAGACGAAAGACCCCAAAGTTCTCAGTGGCACCAGTACCCCAAGTGTTAGGAAGGTAGGAACTAACCCAAAAGCAGAGTGAGGAGGAGGAGGAGGAAGTCGGAGAGGAAAACGAGAGGGAATACAAGAAGGAACGCACTCCCGTGCCCAGCAGACTCTAGCCACTCTCTCCCCAGGTAGGTTCCCACTGGAGTCTAGGAGTTCAAGTGCATCCAGCCTGCCCTTCCCCCACATGCCCCAAGAGAATGGGAAGTTCAGCCAAGACTCGCAGCACCTGCCTCCAGAGCTAGGCCGGCTGCGAGCCGCGCGGCGGGGGAGGGAGGCTGCACTCACCTGGCACACAAAGCCTCCGTACACCTCGGGAGGAAGGAGGCACTCGGAGGTCCGGGGGCCACCACTCCGGCCTGCGCGACAACGGGAGATTCCAGCGGCAGCGGAGCCCCGAACTTACCCACCCCAGGCGGCATTCTCCCCACCTCCCGCTGCCCCCCGGGCTCGGCGGTGGCGCAGGCTAGGAGCGAGGGGCCTGGCGGCAGGGGCGGGGCGCGCATGGTGGCGGCCCGGGCTGGCGATCTTCGGGCTGCCCGGGGAGGGAGGTCCCCCAGGCGCGGCGGGGATTCACCCACGGGGCGCGGCGCTGCGTCCCCGGTCCCCGTCCCGGCCTGCCCGCCTCTCTCCTCCTCCTGCGCCGCCCGCCCGCCCGGAATCGCTTTATGTAAATGAAGCTCAACTCGCAGTTTGCAGCGCGCACCGCCCGAGGAAGGGGGGCGGGCGGGGCGGGGGGCCTTCGGGGATCCACATTACACAGCAACAAAGCGGAAGGTTAATTTGAAACTCACAGCCCCGCAGCCTCTCGGCTCCCCGGGCAAAGCCTGACATCTACAGTCGCGCTGGGCGCAGGCCGGACTGCTCGCGGTGGCCGCGCCCGCGTGCCTGCGGGGACCTGGGGACATAACACACGGGAGCAGGGCCGGGTCTGCTGGGCCCTGGCTCCCAGCACCGGCCTTGGAGGCAGGCTGGGCCGCACTCGCGTGGGGACAGGAGCCTTGGCTGCCCCGGCCTACAGCAACCCAGGAACCGGCCCGGCAGGAACAAAGCCGCGTCCCCGCGAGGCACTGACCGCACTGCTCATCAAAAGTCAAAGGCCGGCCTGGAAGAAACGGATGCTCCCTCAGCCACCAAAAAAAAAAAAAAAAAAAGCAGCAGCAGAAGCAGTTGGGGCCTCCGAACCCTGATCCATCAGTCTCTGGGCCCTGTCCACGTCAGAACCAGGCCACTCTCTAACAGGGGACATTAGCCAATGTGGACAGGAATTTATTTGAAACACACACCCATCCTATTAACTGCTTCACAGAGAACTTCTGTTTTTCAGCTGCAGAAACTTGTGAAAACATCCCCTACTCTCCATTGAGAGTTTAAGGACAGTTTTGGGGGAGAGAAGGGAAAAGGAGAAGAAAGGAGGAAGAAATGGCTAGGAAAGGACAAGCACTTTACAGCCACCCGATTTAAGCAAGGACACTACCCTTAAAAGCCACACAGCATTTCAGAGAGGGCAAGAAAGGTGCCGGTCTCAGGGAGGTACTACCACCAGGATCAAACCAAACAGGGCTACCTCAGCTGGTCAAAGCAACTGCTGGGCACTTCTGGGTTCCCCTCAGTTCACCTTTTACATGCTGTTATGTAAAGGCAGGCCCCTTGAAATCTCACCGGAAGTCTCCAATCCTCCCAGCCAGAATTCCACCCTCCTCCTAAATCTAGTCTTCATTCTCAGCACAGAAAGAAAGACACCTGCTTTTTCTCTTTCTGAAAACCAGCCACCCAGGCTGCCCCTGCAGCCGCGACTCTTTTCCTACTACACAATAATGAACCATGCAAGTGTTAGAAATATAATAAGCTCACCAGGAGGAAGAGCAGAATGTATGGAATCGTATTTGCATTAAGCACGCGTTAACAGGGAGGAAGGGGGGGGTGCTTGGTTGGTGAAAACTACCATGTCCCTGCGTAGAAAGCATTTCTGGTACAATAGAATTTGGGTTCATATCGATGTAAATACCTAACCTGTTGGGTGCAGACTAACGCCGTCTATATTTTAGTACCAAAAAAAAAAAAAAAAAAAAAAGGATTGCAATTTTCCCCCCAAGCTAGGGTCTTGGAAGAAAAGAACTGCCTCTAGGGAATCAAGTCGATAAGGGACAAAGAAGGGCAGAGGCCAAATTTAGTCAAACTTGGGGGGGGAGCAGTGGGGGGGGTGGAAAGCAGAAAGGAGGGTGGAGGATGGTTCTGTAAACCAGAGTATGGGCACAGTGGTGCTGTTCCAGACTGCCTGACCTCAGGCTCAAGAACAGGTGGTGTTTTCAAAACACACTGTTATTTATGTTAGCCACATGAGTCAGGAACACCTTAAAGAAAACCAATTAATAATTTAATTGAAAAGGGGACTATGAATAATACATGAAGATGATGATGGTGCCCGCAGTGAGGCAAGCAAGGTGGCCCTCCACTCAGAGATGCCCCCACCCACCCCACCCGCCCCCGGAAATCTCTTTGGGGAAATGGAGATTCCAGACCCTCCCTCCTCACCTGGAAGCCACCCCACGGGCCTAGCAGATGAAGTAAAGACAGCAGGAAAATGTTTCTACTCCTGGAAAATTGAATTTTGCAGCTTTCTCTTGAGTTTTATTCACGGGACAACCTCACAGAATCTCATACTATGGTGAGTATTGGGGGGGGGGGGCGGAGGACACACATAAATACCTTTGACAAAAATGAAAGCTGGAAAAACCACAAGACTAGAGTAACCTGAGAGGCTGAGGAGGGGCTGGCAGAGGGGCTCTGCCTTGATTCCTCCAGTGTCCCAGGCCCTGGTGACAGGCCTGCTACACCTCGGGAGCCTGACAAGCAGAAAAGAGACTGACCCTGATCCCTTTTTCTTTATCTTAATCCTGCAATAGCTACACGCTTGGTGAGGCCTACTCAAGCCTGTCTTTGTTCCAGACAAAAATTTCACAGGTAAGCCATGGGCAGGTAGCCTACAGCCTGTAGGCCATAGTGAATATGACGGCATAAAAGCTGGGGTGCTACCTCAGGAACAACTCCTTTTCATCCTTAACCAAAACAAGACCTCTTCAGAGGGAATTCGCAAAGCACACGCTGACTGACACATGGATCCACCAGTTTCTCTGAAATCCATGTTGCAGATCCTATCCCCAAGCTCGGGACAGGGCAGCTGCCTGACGTTAAAAACCCACGCCTGCCCAGCACTGACAGCCTGATGTTCCCGGGCTGCATCCTGAACACAATGACGAATAAAGCCACCACCAGAAGAGGCAGCTGGGAACGGTTCTCACAGTCCTCCATCCCCAGGCTCGTCTCATCTAGAAAGCCTGATTGGCAACAGCCAAAGGATAAATATTTAAAAATAAACCAGGGAACGCTCGCCCCTTCTCTTCTCCTCCCCTTCCCCATTCTCCAGGCCAGAGGTCTGCCCACTAATGCTTAGCTGGCTGATAAATTACAATTCTCCAACCCAGCCAAACCTGCTCCCTGCCACCCCCCATATCCCACTCTCTAATGCTCCAACCTTTCACTTGGGCAAAGCTCTTCCCTGACTGAAGAGACAGTGGATGTCAGCATTCCAGCCCCTCCTCCGAGCACAACTGGGTTTAGGTAGATGTGTGTAATTCTTCCAGATGATTCTATTTTTATTAAATTATATACCCACATTGATTTTTGAAACTTGGGCTTAAATGATCTGGAGGCTTTAACCTGGGACAGAGGACAGAGACACACACAGACATGTCCCCCAAATAAATACAAATATATCTGGAGCTGCATTTCGCTCCATGGTCTGAGCTCACCCCACCAATATGAGGTCGTTTTATTTAGGGGCCAGGTACCTGCTGGGTGCCCCAGGCCTCCTGGGTATGATCCAGAATACAGGCCAACCTGCAGGCAGCCCAGCTAGCGAAGGATGGCATGCATGAGGGCCTACGCACATGTTTTGTTTCACGTTTCTCTGACAGGAACCTCGAGGCCTTCGTGTATGATGGCAGCGCTAATTCCACAGATGAATTTTTACCCCACCGCAGCTGGAATGTTATCTGGTTTATTTACCTGCTCTTCCCAAGCCACCTCCTGAACCTTTCAATCATATGCACGATACAGACACAAATGAGTCATCTGCCTTTAAATCTGTGATTCAAAAGAGTTTTCCCAAAATAATTTTAAGTGGCAAAGCCCAAGTCTCAAGGAAGCAAAAATACAGAAGTTGTCTTAAAACCGCCTTAAATGTTAGGCAAATAGGTCACCACGGTCTCCTTTTTTTCTTTCTTTTTTGGAAACAAAAATATTTTTTCTGAAAGGGCAAAGAGAATTTGCCATGCAAGACTTTTATACCCAGGGGGATTTTTACATTTGCTTTTCTAAACCTTGAAATTGAGAATTTTAATGACAAGGCAGACAGATGCTTACAGACAGCATCCCAGTCAAGGGTCTACATGCTAAGGAGAGAGTGGCGCTTTGTTTGGGCCGAGGGGGGGGGGAGGTGGACTTCCCACTCTGTTCCTGAGCCATCCCCAAGTGTCTGACACATCCCTTCACAGTGGCCAGCAAACCACCGAATTCTTGGAGGGGACGGAGGTTGGGGCAGAAGAAAGGAAACAGGAAACGAGAGAGGAAAAGAAAAAGGATGGGCAGGGGATATTGTCTGTTTATATAAATCCTACTTTAAAAAAAAAAATCTCAACCCACTGTCAATTCCATACACACCAACTAGTTTAAACAGTGCATTCTGTCGGACTCCCAGCCATCCATCTCAGATTTTTTTTTTCTTTTTAATGAGTAATTTCACATAGGTTTCAATTCTTCCCTAGCCAATGATCACTTTTAAGTAGTGGACAGGATACCAGGAGATAAACAAAAGATGACCCTTTCACGCTTTACCCCGGGTAATGCTAGAATCCCATTTCTTCGATTCATCTTTTCACCGCAGTTCATTTTTGTTGGAAGTCTGTGCTAATCTGGCTTCACAGTTGTCCCCCCCACCCCACCCCCAGCTGACATCCCACATATCCCCCAAGTCAGCCAGTGTTTTAGAATGTGGGTTTCTATTGAGGCTGTTCCAATCGCCAGTGAGGCCTACGGTGAAATGTGCTTCATGCTGCTCCGTTCGTCTCTCTGCGGACAAATAGAAACTGTGAAATTTAAAGAATGGATAAAAAAAAAAAATCTAAAACAAAGAGGTTAAAAAAATAGGACAAATGTTTTTGCTTTTGTGTCTCCCTGCAGCGATTGTTTGGGGAAGCTGCACTGACAATAACCATGAGCAGGCCATCTAAAGGCGATGCGCTCACAAGGGGACGCCTTGCCTGCTCCCTTTGGTCTGGGAGAAAAAGTACCTTAGCTCCGTTCTCCAGGAACAAAAGGCCGGGGCCAGGGGAGGGGGGAGAGGTTACTGGGCTTTCACAGGGAGCAAAGTGTCAAAGCTGGTTCATTTTTCACCCTTCTGAGTTAGAAAGCCGCTCAGGGAACTTCCTAATGACTCCTTTTCCCTCTCTATTACTGCTAAAGCTAAGACGACAAAACAATGACATATTTTATATACATATGAGTATGTGTATGTGTATACATGTGTGTGTGTATACACACATCCTTAAAAAAAAAAAAACAAAAAAAAAAAACAAACCTAAAACCCACCATGCCAGTCAAGGAAGGCCTTTGGGGCCCACATGAGCCTGCTTCTCTCCTCCCTCTCACCACCCTACTTTTTTTCTTTTTGGAGGGGGGATCCAGTAGTAGAGCAGATGAAAAGACAGACAGTGATATGTCCAATAACATCAAACTGGCCTTTATCAGTCCAAAAAGGTAGGGTGTTATCCGGGACAGGAGGTATTGGGGGAGAGGGTTGGGGGCAAGAAGGCCTGGAAATAGTTCCTTTTTTCCCAGCATGAAGTCGGATAATGCCAATTCCACATTCACAACTGAATCGAAATCTCACATCATCACTGAATGGTGGGAGTGGTTTTTTTGTTTATTTATTTGGAGTTTAGATTTGTGTGTGTGTGTGTGTGTGTGTGTGTGTGTGTGTGTGTGTGTGTGTGTGTGTGTTCTTTTTTTAGAGGATGTCCTAGAGAACTGGACAGTGAGGGTGTATTAACCCAGACAAGGTGTGGCAGGGACCAGGGGAGGTGGTGCCACCAGGAAAGGAAGCTGGGGTGAATCACTGCATGCCATGGAAATACTGGGCCGAGTGGATGTAGGAGTGTTTAACCAGATTAACACACTGGAAGTGTCTTCCCAGGCAAGCAAAACCCTAGGTCAAAGCAAAGACATTCGACCCCCAAGCCAGACCTGACTGCTCCGGGAACACCCCCCCCCTTCCCCAAAGCAAGCACAGGGCTCTGACCAAAGAGCAAGGTCACAGGCAGGGATGAGAGGGCCCTGCAAAGCACAATAAACACTCGAATATGAACGGAAATGACATCAGCAAAGTGAAGGACCTGTTTACTGCAGATCAAAACAAAACAAACTTCCAAACCTTTTGTGTACACAAGAGAACTCTATAAAAAGCCTTGCTAAATGTCACTAGGGTCTACACATCGGCAACCCAATAAGAAAATATGACGGTTACTGGAGGGGGGAGCTGGGGGGGGATGATGGAAAGAAGGTGGAGGGAGGGAGATCAATCCCAGCTAGGACCAAAAATCCAGTTGCTGGTTACCCCCTCTGCTGAGTCTTAATATTTATTGGTGTTTATAATCTGAAAGCCATGCTCTATGTTTCACTTAATACAAGGCCAGACAGCGTTGTCTAATGAGGCAGCATTACAATCAGCTTGTAATGCTGAATTTTTAATGCTGCCAAGGATTCTGTTACATAATAATATGAAAAACAGAAGCCCAGAGTGGGGTCACAGTGACAAGACCTCCCCAGTGCCACCAGCCTGGCTTCCCTTGCCTCCGCCCACTACCACTTTCTGATTTGAAATCAACTCTTCATTCCCTACACAGGAGGTCGATATGGAAACCGAGAGGATTTCTTAGGAAATCCACACTTTCCATTATTTCTGTAGTCTCTTATCCAAAGTTCTATGTCGAGAGTTTGAATTCTAGCTTATCTGGGGTGAGAGCTCTAAAATGAAAATTATTTCTTCTTGAAGGTGGGGGGCAGGGGCTGAAGAGACAAAGAACAGAGGGGAGAGGGTGGCTTATTTTTTAAGCAGATCAAGCCATTTTTAAAAATAAAAATAAAACCACAGAAAGAGAAGGAACGGGGGGTGGGGGGTGGGGGTGGGGGGTTGGAAAGGTGGAGCTGGCCGCCCATATCCATAGCTGCTGCTCTCAGCTTACACTGGTGTAATTTAAAAGCATACATACAGGCGCGTTGCTTCTCTCTGTAATACCCCAAGACTGTAAATCTATAACCACTGCAATGATTTAGTGATTAAAAACATGATAACATATTGTGTAACTGCAAACCACAGAAGCCTTGCCAACTCTCCTCCAAGATAAAGGGGGGGCCCGGGGGGAATACAGAAAATGTGTTGCTTGCAGGGATCTTCCTAAACTCCAAAGGTTTTAATGAAAGGACCCATACAGGAGACAATCTCAAAAGGGTGAGTGCATTCTGTGTGAGACCAGAAAAGAGAGGGTAAAAGGGGGGGGGGGGAGCTACTTTACGTGGGATTGTTTTCCTTGTAATAACAAATGACAACCTAAACATGCCTTTTCCTTTCTCTCCTCCTTCCCCTTTTCTTAATGGTTTGTTGTAACTGGAATGACTGGTCTTGTGCATATTCAAAGCTGCTTTGTAACAGCATCTGGAGACCCCACCTTATTTGCCTGAACTCAATGGGTTATTGTTGTTGTTTTTTTTTTTTTTCCTCCCCCTCCTCCCTGGTTTTGTTTTGGATTCGGTATTGTGGGTTTTCTGGTGTCACTGGGAGCCCCCAGTCCACACAGTCAAAGGAAGGAAGGCCCTGATGCCTTTAAGCTACTGAGCTAACACCTGAGAGGGAAGCACAATTTGTAACGTGTCAGGAGGAGCCTAAGCTACACACACACACACACACACACACACACACACACACACACACACACACACTAAAATCAAAGCAGCTGTAGGGGTTTTGGCCTCTGAGCAGCTGACCTGACCCCATTCTGTATATTCTTTTATTTCCCCATTGCAGGAATCCTGCACCTTGGGTCAGATTAGTACTCCGTGACCCTGAGGAGGAAGGCAGTCACCAAGCCCTAGAAAACTGTTCCATATTTAATAGGGGGGGGGGGGAGTGTGAGTGCAAATACATTCAGAAACCCCACATACACACACACACACACACACACATACACCACAATCTGTCAGGGCTACCAGGCCATAAGACCAGCTCCGGCCCAGTTTTCTCAGTCCACACCACTAAGAGCTACCACGACCACCACCACCAAACCTTCATGCCTACAGCTCTAACCACCAACACACACATACACAAACACTCCTTCGGGGACTTCATGTTTAAAAAGTCCACAGATCTGAATCGCCTCCTCTCTGGACCAGAGCAGGGCAGTTTATTCAGAGAAATCAATAGGAAAGAGCATTTGCAAATATTTATATAAGCCCAGTGTGTTTCAGCATTAAGTAATTAAAAACTAGAACCCAGGGAGGGGGGAAGGGAGGAGACACAGGCAAGAGGAAGGCCACGGGCCTCCACTGCTTTCCTGCCCACACCTCATCTCCCCAAGCCACAATCCTTTCAAAAATGACTTCGTGTACACTTTTTGCAAAATCCTGTTCCGAACCATTTTCAAGACTTTTCAAAATAATCTCCAAATATGGATTCACCTACCACCATTCAGGACTGACTGTGAGATAACTGTCTTCTGTATTCTCTCTCTCTCTCTCTCTCTCTCTCTCTCTCTCTCTCATACACACACACACACACACACACACACACACACACTCGAGCGCGCCACTCTGGCTTTTGATATTGCTTCAATCTCTAATACGTTACTCTGTTATGTTCCTACCTCTACTTGTACTAGTTTAAAAAATCGAACAGAACATCCTGAGGAGAGGAAGGCTGTAGCAAAGATTCCATAACCCAATACCCACCCGAGAAGTCCTAGGCTGCTGCCTACTTCCCTCCAACTCAGGAGACTTACACTTTAGGGGTTCAGCATTTGAAATCCTCACATGTAAACAAATACACACACACACATAAACACACACACACACTTCAGTAAAATAAAGGGGTTATAACACGGGCCACTATGGAGTGAACTTCTATCTTGTTCTGGAAAGCTGAGCAGTAAATTCTGGTTATTCTGCTTCTAAATCTGCTGAAAGAAACCGACCAAGGCACTGGAGCAACCACACTGCAGGTATTGTAGAAATTTACAGTAAATGTAGGTACAAGATTGCAGCACATTGCCCTATTGATTATTCAGATTGATCAATCTCTCCTCTACCATTTCCCAAGCTTCTTTCCCAGGACCTCCGAAAAAGTTGGCCAGTAACTAGCCATACACCCAAAGCAGGTAGAAATATATATATATTAAAAAAAGAAAAACATTATAAATCCTCAATGCCCCCAAAGGGCTTGAGCCTTTCTTAAAATTCCAAAGTGAATTTATGTTCTGTAATTTGCATTGGCCACCGTATGTCAGTCTTCAAAGGTATTTAACAAGCCCCCCTTTTAAAAGTCACCAACAGAAGGCCAAAAAATGGCAATCAGTTTCCTTCTTCCATATAGTCCTTAGATCAAGTTTCAATAATTGAAACCAATAAAAATTGACATATTTCCCCTACTTCAAAGTGATAAGGGGGGAAAGTTAAGAGTGGGTGATTTTTGAAGTACTCATAACCAAAGAATTTGCCACAGTCGAAGGAATTGCACATTTCACAAAAGTCAGGTTCTGAGCAACAGATTCATTCACAAAGTAAAACGTATTATTTTAATAGCTCCAAACACAATTCAAGTGCACTGCATAAAACACTTAAGACCTACCCGCCAACTGACATGCAAAAGATTCTATACATTAAAATGTATATCGTAAAATTAGGAACGTGCTTTTTTGCATCTAGTGGAGTGGGGCGAGAAGTGCGAGTGGGGAACCGAACGTAAACAATCCCAGTTTCGCATGAGCAAGAGAGAGAGAGAGAGAGAGAGAGAGAGAGAGAGAGAGAGAGAGAGAGAGAGAG